CACATGAATATAAGCATGCCTAAAATAGACTCAGGCCAATGTGAACAAGGAGCAGAAAGAAAACCCAACAACATGCCAGAGCAGTCTTGAAGGGGAATTCCACCTAATTTTAAAAATTTCTTTGGAATTCAAACTTTAAAATGTAAACTAAGACATTCAGAGTGGTTTAATGTGAAATAGTTTACTGTAGAGAAACTTACAGACTCTGTCTTTATTACAGCAGTGGTGATAGGAACCAGGGGTGACGATGTCCACAACGCAAATGTAGTTATTTTATTTACTATCCAAAATGACCAGTGAGCCAAAATGAGATTTTATATGCAATGATGATAATGGCAAAACTGTTTTTACTGGGTACTATTTTGCCTAATAATACCCTGCATGTACCTCTCTGCCATGAACGGAGTTAATAAAATATGTTTTAGACTAAAATCTTATTGCGCAATTACCATAAAACAAACTCTCAGGCATCAGGCAACGTATTCATAACTATTTCTTGCAATAACTGTGTAACAAAATATGTAGCTTTTAAGACATTACAGGCTTCAGATGTTTGGTTCCTATCCCCCCCACTGTGAACTCCGACTCCCTACGTTTCTCCAGAATAAAGCATTTCACATCCAAACACTCTGAATGACATTACATCTTAAAGATTGAATTAAACAGAAAGTGTAAAAAAAATTGTGAAATTTCTCTTTAAAGGCATTAAATACTCCTCAATATACTAAAATCCAACAAATTCATATTAGAAAACGACGAACAACTAGCAAGCACACTATGGAGTACATTGTGATTGCTTGGCCTTTAAAAGCTGCCACGAGCTGCTTCTCTTCTTTGAATGCACGTGTGTGCCCGTGTACAAGGGCATCTTCATTCATAGACAAACAGAGGGGTGTAAATATGAGAAGAGGGGGTTGCAATCGATTTAATGGCAGTTATGCTGAACGAATCAGCTTCAATCTAGCGCTCCCCCACAAAGCCTCAGTTTTCAGGCTTTATCTCCAGCCGGAGTCACTTTTCCACCTAATCCCTGTGCCAGCGCAGAGAGCCAGACTCCTAATCCACCAACACTGCCGCAGCATAAAGACATACCAGCACAATCACACAGCCCATAAAATACAGCTCCAAATGCACACCAGGCAAGAGATTTTTCACAAACCGCAAAATAGAACATTTCCATGCCTTAAGCCTTGTTATTTGTCCCAGGCGCAACCTTCTGCACTCCATTTCCTAGTTGGACATAGAGAATTCTCCAAAATACGGCAAAAGAGGCAGGTCAGAAGATTAGAGCAGTGCCAGTGCTGCGAGACGGGACGGTGCAGGTAAGCACTTTCCAGTCTGATTCAAAAACAAATGAGGGGATACATCTGACCTCTGCATGAATACGCAGTAGAAAGGGACATAAATATCATTACACCTTTTTCTTTTTTGGTTTTCTTTCATTTGTATGCACTAGTGAGTAGCATATCAATCAACAGCTGAGAATGAGAAGGCCAAGAGTACGTAACATTTCAGACACCACATTATCAGACACTTTCAAATTACATAATTACAAAAATAACTTAGCAATTTTTTTTGTACAGCTAAATTGGATTACCTTTAGTCAAAGAAATGTTTTGTAAAACTGCTTTGCAATAAGCGATATACACAATAAATAGTTCAAAAAACACATACTTTCCTCTATTTGTAAATAATACGAGAGAAGGATTATTTTGGTCTACTTGCTGACATAAACTGACAAACTAAAATAAACGCTGGGCAAATGTAGAAATTTGCACACATACATCCATATCCACATGGCTATGACACAGCAAGACAAATACAGCCACATTAGTGCAATGCGACCGCCATGCGACATCCATCACCATCAGAGAATGGCAGCAGAGAGGCTGGAGCCGTCCACCTGGTGACTGTACTGATCTGGAGGGAGTCCAACAATACAGCCAATAACCAAAAATAAACACGCAGCTCCACACTGCACTTAAACACTAGTCTTCATTCTAATAAAAGCTGACATACAGTATAGCTGCTATATCCCATCATCTCCACCAAAAAACGGGAAAAGGAAACCTACCGAGCACATTTATCCCTGCTGGGATGCGGAGTAGGATTGGAATTTACAGGAATCCAGATAATGCAGTGAGGGAGGAAGAGTCTCAGGAAATATCCAGTATATATAAAGTCGCTTTGTGACATTAGGTCTACTTGACAGGATTTTTTTGAGGGGGGATAGCCAAAATATCACATGCTAAACAGTGAGGATTCCAGAAAAGATTTACAACAACAAAACAAAACAAAATTTACAACATGAAAATATAATCTGTACCTTTTTAAAAATCCCGTATTTTTGCTCATGACAAATTTTGTCGCTTAATAAAACCTGTCTGATTTTTTAAGCATATTTTGTAAAGAACACATAAAGAGAGCAGAGAACCTGTGACAGCAGTCCGTTTCAGCCCCAGTGCAAAGTGAACAGCACTCTGGACGGTAAATAACTTTTAGTTGGTTCAATAGAAGAGAATTAAGGAAAGCGCCCAAGTTGCTAATGGGAATGAATGGGAGGCATCAGTCGGGGTCAAAAGCACTGCAAGATCAATGCAGAGGTACAGGTGTACAGCAGTACAAAAGGAGAATGTGTTAACAGAGAGAGAGAAAGAAGGGGGGAGAGAGAGAGAGAGAGAGAGAGAGAGAGAGAGAGACAGAGACAGAGAGGGAAAGAGAGAGAGAGAATATATACCAAGGAACATTTGTTTCTATTACAGCTATTAAAGATGGTAGAGAGCAAAGTTTAAAGAAAGAGAGAGTCACACAGAAGAGTAATGGACTAATGGGATGCACTGAGCAGTGTTCTAATCAGACAGAGCACAGGAATGCACTATGCCTTCTGACCACAATTACCATATCATGTGGCTTATTATAAGAAAAATTATATTGCCTCTCAGTGCATGAAGTCCCTGCTAGCTGATATACATTTTCAATGCATTAAACACAAAATTGCCTCAAAGAATTCCATTTGAATAAATAACAAAATAGGATTAAGGAATGAATACGCAAAATAACCATGCAGGACTGCTTAGATACAGTGTAAGACTAATTATACGTTTAATACAATCATCATAGTGTAGTCCAATTGTTAATTATTTTGGCATTTCAACACAATTATTATTAATCATTAACAACCAAATGCATACTTTCAAATTTTACTCTTTTTATTCTATTTTTAGAAAATTCCCATTGATACTGAATATTCAGCTAATTCTCTGTCCTCTATAATTGCCTTGTCTTGTAACATTTGTATTACAGGATTTGTAATCACTGAGATTTTCCATTGTCACTGACAATGACAACATTCAATGGCAAAGCAATGTGTGCTATTCAAAGAGCCCAATTCTATCAGTTAATTAAAATTAGATATAAAAAATAGAAGAACAGTGTATTAAAAATAGTCTTTCAAAATTTCTAATCACGCCAGTCAACAACAACAATTTATTATTATTATTTTTATTAAGTATTTTAATAGCGTTAATGTTTTTGTTTTGTGTTGCCATATTCCAGCTCCCAAATCACCAATTATTTATTTCCAGAAGTTCACCTTTATTTCTAGTGGAATATGAATGAGCGTTTTGCGCTTCCTCTGCAGGAGAAAGGGTTACACTGCCCTCTAGTGGTAAGAAAAGAAAATACTTACTAAAAAATAAAACATCCATTTCTTAGCTTACTGGGATTTGTAATGGGGTAATGAGGTTTCTCTAGGTATGCTGACACTTTGGTTAAATCAGAAAAATGTCCACAGCAAAAAGATCATGTTTATCCAAAAAACACACACTTTCAATGTACTAAAAAAAGGCAAATTACACAGTTCTGGGTAATAAAATTCCAGATCTCTAGTGGTTTGCTGTATTCCCTAAATCAGTCTACACATAGGCACTACAGACATGAATAATATTTTAATATAGATATGTTTGTTTTATTTCTGTCCTAATGTCTTCCTTGAGTCTAGCAATCCTACATACATTGGAGACTATGTAAAATGTATCATCATATAATGACATAAAAGACCACTTAAGGACATAATCTGTTCATAAAGCCATCAACAGATTATTTTACATTTCAGATGAATCACAGAATTATCAGCATAAGCATTTCAACAGACACATTATCTACACACCATTCTCTCTGCTATCCATCAATCACAAAACTCAAACCACTGCCTTCTGATACAATGTTGAAAATTGCTTTTCACACTGACCTCAGAGCCTGCAAAGCAGGTGTGACATTTCAGATGGAGTGTGGAGTTTGGACAAAACAATTAACATGTTTATGTTGATCTGATTTCCTTCACGCCCATATTATCTATCCTCATTGTGCTATAACAGGCTTGAAGGCTGACTAAATGGCTGCTGTTTGCAGTAATTTACAATAGAAAGACTTCGGAAATGCATTTGTCTCTAGTTCATTATGTTATGAGCCATGCATTAATGCAGCTCAAATAGAGTCTATTCATTAGAGTTAGCAGTGACAGCCAATTCAACCTCACTAATGAACATCGATACTCATGTGGAGTATTAAGGGATGATTTGTGGATTTTGTATGTATCATTCAAAAGATAATGTAGATGGATGTTTCAGTTAGTGTACAGACTAAGTGATAAACAGCCAAGTTGGGACAAGGCCATAATTTGCAGTGTTACAGTGCCACCTTCTGTACATTATTTGCAATGATTATTTTCTACTGTTTGTGGGACAGGTGTGTAGAGGTTTGTGATGAATAGAGAGCCAAATGTTTGAATAAACAGTTGTTGCAAAAGGTCAATGTAAATATACAAGAATATACTGTCAGGCAGCAAGCTGACTCGAAAAAAAATATGTTTATTCAATCTAAATGTTTAGTGGACGTTTCCACAATATACAATCTGTTTTCTTGGGAAAAAGGAAATAGCAAAAAAGTTAAATTATACACATCAATGACATGTTATTTGTGTACTGAGAGATATCACTCACCAATACCAGAATTGCCCCCTGTGATGACTATGACTTTGTTGGAGAGGTCATGACCCTGTAGGATCTCCAGGGCAGCAGTGTTTCCATCATAGCGCTTGGGCTTCACTTGTATATCCTCTATGGTGAAGGCTTGGCGAGGGTCAAAGTATGTCTTTCTCTTATTAATGTGACTGAAAAAGAGGGAGGAGAAATTTACTAACTCAACTAAAGTAAGACATTGAGAACTGGAACAGACTCACTCACACCCAAAATGTTGCAGTCTAAAGAGACATTAAAGCCACTTTCAGGCAACCCCTGTTACAGCAAGGATTATGGAAAACACAAGTCAACAGCAAAGCTAAGTGATGTAAAATGTACTATTCCACCAAATTTTCAAAACTGCATAATTACGTCATTCAGATGTAAAAAAGTCAGAGTGATTTGATTGTAGAGGAACTGACTCACTTTGACTTCTTCACAGTGGTGGTGATAAGAACCAGAGGTCATGTTGTCTACAACACAAATATAGCCATTTTATTTACTACTCAAAACAACCGGTGAATCAACATGTGTCTGAGTTTTTATATGATGTTGCTAATCATAAAGTACAGGTAAATTTGAAAAATTAAGGTTTCTTTGGGGTCTATACAGCTATATAAGGCCAATAATCAGTCTGCGCAAGTGCAAAACAGACAGCAGTACCGGAAATAAGCAGGCAGTGTTGCCAGGAGATGGCAGCAAAACACTTTTGGAGCGACGCTGAAACCCACTATATGCTTGACGAAATGAAGGATTTAGATATTCCTCATCTTCTAGATGATGTATGTTCAGAGCTTCAGGTAAACTGTCACAATGTCTTAAAAAAAAAAAAGCCAGAACATGAAGCTTGAGTTTTACATTATGTTTACGTCATGTCTTCTGTGAGTTTATTGGCTGGTTGCAAAGCAGAAAGCTGATTATTGTCATCATGTAGACTTGGAGTTTCCCATTATCTGATTACTGACAAAATCTGATTTTCTGCAGTTATAAGATTATTAAGTGCATGTAAACGCACTAACTGTTTACATCCTAGTTATTCAATGATGCAGAACTTTTGAAAAATTGGTGGAATTTCCCTTTGACATTTAAGTACATTAAGGGCCTGTTTCCTGAACCCAGATTAAGCCTAAGCCTTGAATAAAACAACTTCAATTGATGAAGCACTTTTGGTGCACCAATTCAGTCCAAGACTAATCTAATCTTAATCTTAATCTATGTCAGAGAAACCAGTCATAAATGTTCAAAAGTTTGTAGACATCTGCTCATCCAACATTTCTGCTTAAATGTTAGAAGGGGTGTCTGGATATTTTTGAACATACTTGACTATGGGTGGTTGTTAGCCAAGTACGTACATACATACATACATACATAAATAAATAAACAAAAAATAAATAAATAAATAAATAAATTAGTAAGAGGTGCAGAACCCACTCAACGTAAAAGATTTGCCCCTTGTCATCCGTCTCCTGCTCCCACCCATATGGCAGATCTGCAGAAAAGCACACAACCATCTTTTAGTGAAAACAAACCAAACAATCAAATTGAACCAAAATTCACCATTAACACTAGTTTCATTTCATCCACTGTATATATTATTACACTTAGAAATTATAAATTTATATAATAGGTTGACTTAGATTTTAGGCTGTAATTCCAATAATTACATTTATTTTGATTAATCTTCTACAGTCAGAATTCATGGACTCTTGAACACAGTGCAATGAGGGAATAAACTACACTTATAACTCTTCGGTGCTTCAAGGCATAGCTTGTCTTGACATATCGTTGTTTGCAAAAGCTTAGGCACCCCTGGCCAAATGAAATATTCTGTGCATTTTTAAAGCAAAAAAAATAATAATCTCTGTAGAAAACTTTTAAGAAAATAATATTTTTCTGCAAATGTTAATGCACAGAGTGTTATATTTCATTAACTTCAAAATTAGGCAAAAAAATAACATTATTCGTGCAATTACAATGTGCAAAAGTTTGGACATCCTACTAAGAATCCTACAATACTTTTTAACACTCCCTTTGGCAGATATTGCAGCTTGCAAATGCTTTTTGTAGCCAGCCAGGAGTCCTTCTATTCTTGTGTTAGAAATTTTCACCCAGTCTTCCTTGCAGAACATTTCTATTTACGTGGTATTTTTGGGCTGTCTTGCATACACAGCATGTTTAAAATCTACCCATAGTTTTGCAGTTATGTTCAAGTCAGGGGACTGTGAGGGAGATTCCAAAAGCTTCAGCTTGTATATCTTTTATCAGTTTACACTGGATTTGAGGTATGTTGTGGATCACTGTCCTGTTGTACAAGCTTTCTGTTTTTAACTTCAGTTTCTTGATTGTGTCACATTTGCTTCCAGAATATGCTGATATGTAGTGTTTTTTTCCCCATCAAATGCTGCTCTTCTGATTTTCACTGAATCGTCCACAGCGCTTGTTTCCAACGTTTTAACTTGTCTAGATGATGTTTGTATGCTTAAGACATAGACCTTTGTGATGAGATCACAGGTCATGTTTCCTTCTGATGACTTTTCCATGCAGTTCAAGTTTGTGTAAGCAACACCGCACAGAAAAACAGCGCACCACCACTCCTGTGTCAGCTAAACCTTCCTGCAGGTCCTTTGCTGTCATGTGGGGGTTTTGCTTTGCCTTTCTGGGCAATATACAAACAGTTCTATATGAGTTTTCTTGGTCTTCCAGATCTTATTTTGACTTCCACATTTCTCCATAACTGCCATTTTTTACATGTTGGAAAGTTGAAATATCGAGCTGGAACCACTTAGATATCTTTTTTATATCAATTAGCTTCATTTTCAGATCTTCAACCAGCCGCTTAATGCAGCACATTGTTGTGTTAACACAAGTTAACACAAGTCAGATAATTTATCACGCTCTGGAACTGTCACAAGCTTAACTTCATAATGCCAATTCTTCCCCTGCCTAAAGAGTCAATTAAGGCCTAACAAGCTCATTAAGTTCTGAGACTTTACAACTAAGGGTCCAAACCTTTGCACCTGCCAATTTACTAGTTTTTCTGTTTGTTAAGCAAATCATATATAACGTAACTGTGCATTAAATTTTTCTCTAAATGTTGTATTTAAAAATAGTCTGCTGAAGAGATTATGTTTACTTCTTTTCACCTCAGAAATCAACAAAATATTGAATTTGGCCAGGGGTGCTCAGTGTGTGCAGTTGTAGACTGTATCATTGTGTATTGGAGTTCAATGCTAACCTCCTGCACAGCGCTTCTTCTTCCCAGTTTTAGGATGCTCCCACTGCGTTTTCATCTCTTCGTGGCTGAAAAAGACAAACTGTTTTTTGCAAGTTTGCTCTGTAAGACGTAACAGCAGAAGTGTACGCTTTTGGGGTCATGGGCTCAATCCTTCTGAACCGTCTTTAAAATGACATTACAGGTATAGGTACACCACAGACGCTTCAGATTATGCAGATGTGAAAGGTGTGTGAAATAAGTCAACACTGACTCGCGCTTGAACAGAAATGAAGCAGCTCTGCTGGGTCTGTCAAAGCTGAGAGGAAGCAGGAGGCGGTCAGTGTAAACTAACTTACTTGGCATAGTAAACCCAGCCATCCTTCGTGGATCTCTCCTCCCAGCCGGGAGGGAGCTCGTCCTCGCTGTCCGTGTCATCCATTCCTGCGTATTTGAGAGCAGCCATTGCGAGGTGAACGTTCTCTGTTAGAGTGGCTGAGTTCTGTGTCACACAGCAAAATCACTCTCCACCGAGAATAAGACACCAACAGCAGCACTCTCTAATTCTGCACTAGCACTTCCGCAACAACAGTGACGTAGTAGCGGAGGAGTATGCTGGGATTTGTAGGCAGCGGCGCTCAAACAAGGAACGTTAAAACAAGAGCAGATTCAAATTTCTCACAATGAAATTAAACAAATTTAAAAAAAAACAAAAAAAACCTTGTACATAATCCGACAACCTCAGGTATGTGCGTCATAACAAATAAATCTGAAAAGAGGCTTAGTTATAAAAATGGTTATTATATTTGGTAGTCTATGCTTCAGTTGTCTATATTCTGCTCACTAGAAATGAATGTAGAATGTGTGATTCAGGCTGCTTTATCTGATTTAAACTCAAAAAACAAAGACATATAAAAATATACATTTTCAGTACGCATTTCTCCTTTGGCCTTTTGGATCTCTTGACCTATTTATACTTACTATTTATACTATTCCTTTACTACACTTGAATTAGTCAAAGACAGCTTTAATACATAAAAAAAAATAGACTGATGTACAAAAATACACATTTTTGTGTTCTCCTTTGGACTTTAGGAGTTCTTCTTGTAGACCTCACTCATAATTGCTGGTAGACCATTCCAGCTAGCAGAGCCAGTTGATGATCAAGTTTAGGACACTCACCCATAGTTTCATTTATAAATAATTTAGTCTACAAATTACACTAGTGTTATTTTATTGCAGTAATTCCAGGAAAGCTTGGCATCAATACCAAACCATTCCAACATTCCACTCCAACACACAATTAAGCACACTTTTACACTGTTTCTCATGACATGAATAAAATACTGTACAGATTTATTAGAGGTAACAACAAAATGTACAGTTCTGCACTGCCTCCAAATAATGTCTTACATTTCCTCTTCTCTGGACCTTAAAGTCTGAGACACTGCCACATCACTGAAAAGTGCCATTGATAACATAAAAATGTTTAAGTACACCTAAGGCCTCAGTAGAAATAATAAATAAAAAGATATGCAAAACACAATTTATAATCTATAATATCATTATACCTGTGATATTTATAATCCAATAAAATAAAATCAAAACAAGGCCTACTGATTCCAAACAAAATCATGACTCATTTTCTAGTTTTCTACTCATTTTCTACATCTCTCCAGCACCATGTTTGGGCATTTCTTATTTCTTCTCTGCATTGCATGAGTTCATACTTCTTTGATAAAACATAGAAATGAAGAATGTAGAAAAATAACTCTTCATAACCAGCACACCAAGAAGGGAAGGTTCACAGTGGTCTTAGTCTTCATGCGTCCAGCACTTCAGATTCTTTTCATACTCTATACTTCTCTTTTGCTCTGTCGCTTAGTATACAGATGTGCTGAGGGAAATAAAGTAAAAGAATCATACATTAAAACATCCATGAAATCATATTTTGCTTGCAGGTAACATTGGCACAAATCTAAAATACTTACACTCAGATCCCTGAAATATTCATTGTAGTCCAGAGCATATCCCACCAAGAATTTATCAGGAACCTCAAACCCAATGTCTGAGAGAAAGACACAATACATAAAAAAAAATAAAAGCTAATTTTCAACAAAGAAAGTGTGTGAAAATTGATTAGTGTAGACTATCCACAACAGTAAGTGACCTTATGGTTCAATTCACACCACAAATGCTACATTGTTTAATTATTTAGTATGGGTAATTGTACAAACAAAAATACATAAATAAATAATTCCTACGTCAACCATTCAGTGATCCAAACCTTTTACTGTGTCAAAATTGACTCAAGGCCAAACAGGCTCACACCACCAAGTATGCAATAACATCACTCTTGATATACACTAAACAATAGCAGGTCATTAACGGCTAGTTGGGTGGATTGATAACGAACCTCTTCCACTTCAATACTAAAGCTAAAAGCAGAGGTCAGAGGACAGTAACATCTGTGCTTCTAGGACAGGCCTAAAGAGCTTATCAGCCTCCACCCTGCTAAAAGCATTGCATAACCACTTCAAGCACGGACATATCAGCTTGTGTCCAAGTACCATGTCTAACAGCATGAGCAGAGGGTTGTCTTTCCTCAGTGTAGATCCCACACAAAAAGCTCAAATATAAAACTCAACATGAACACAGAACTTTGAGAAATGAACTCACAATCAGGACGGTATCCTGAGCTTCTTGGAGTCCTTTTCACAAGTAGGCTGAAATTGAGCAGAACAGTGTAATGAATACATATATGATGCTGATGGTGTTATAAGCTATAAACACACATAAATGACACCACGGTAAACTTTTATGGATATTCTGATAAGTTACAGCAATAAACAAAGAATGCTTCCATACTGCTGTCCAGTGATAACACGCCTTCAGCAGCACTCAGACAAACATCAGATATCTACATTAGACTCTAGTGGGGGAGAGCCATTTAGCCATTAATGCACAGTATCTAGTCTGTCCTCACCCGTTCCATCTGCTAATGGTCATGTGACTCACATGGCTCAAGTGACTCATGTGACTTTAAATTCACATATTGTACAGAGTGGATTTGTGTCTATACATTGGGACTTTAAATGAGGGACACAAATAGGAACAGGGAGGGATTTGCAGAAATGTTATAGTTCTATACATTCTTTAGTTTTCACTATACTCCAATGGAAAGATGTGATATGTAAGGCGTCCAACAAAAACACACCACAAACGTCAGTACAACAGCAATGATCCCTTACCTGGCCACTTTGACCATTTTGGGATTACATTCATTTAATAATGCTAGCAGTGTTTCCATGGTCCGTCCTGTCTCTACAATATCCTGAAAAATAGTTAAACGGTAGCACTTAGGATGGGTGATTAACATATCTTTAATATAGTACTGCAAATCAAGAACCTCAGTATTATGTTATGAGCACAAGCTTTCTCCATTCTAAAAAGTTCAGAATACTATGAATACACATTATTCAGTTAATGGCATTTTCTGACATCAAGTTCAAATATGCCAACTACAGACACTGATTTTCCAGGCAAAGATTAAGCCTAGTTCGAGACCAAAAAGTATTCAAAGGACAATCCCCACTAACGGCGCACTTTAGCTCTAGGCTAGACTTGATCAATGCTTGGCAAAAATGGTGCCAATATTTAAAGGGTTTTGATCCAAAACGCATTACAGACCGCTAACAAAAATTTTCCTTTTCTTCATGATATACATTGTTGAGAGTGAGCTTTACACATAGAAGAAATACCAATGCTACATTAATCATAATAATCACCTTTACTAGAGAAATAAAATGTGTTGCCCATTACATGTTGTGTTACTCTTTTCAAAAACAAAAGTAACATTGCAGACACAGGACGAGTGTTTTTCAATTCATACAAATATATACAACAGATAGACATTTACAATGACACAGAGGCTCACCTCGACTATAAGCACGTTCTGTAAAGGGTGACAAAATAAGAATAGTTAACACATGACAAGAGGCCACAAAGACTGTCTAAAGCACTACAGATATACTGCACAGATGCAATAAAAGCAAAACTCACCTTTCCACTAAGAGCAGATAATTCATCTCCTCCGATAACCTTTACACAGTTTGTTGACTGATCATTCTGAGAAGAGATTTTGGGAAGCACCATTATTTTTAAACAGAAAGTCAGAAACGATTACACTGATTTTTCAAGCCTAAAGCTTCTACAATATATTAAATACACTACATCAGTGCCAGAGAACTTTTTTTCCTATGTACTGAAAATCAGCTTTAAGTAATGGGAGTACTGGGGAATGAAGTGAAGTGCTGAAGCAATATTCATTTGCTTCCATTGTGTTTTTCTCCACCATAGAAACAGAAACATAGAGAGGCCATACACTGTGTCCAAAGTCTTAACTTAGAACAATATGACTGTAATTATAATAGTCACAAACAGGTACAGCGACATACTTAAGCAAACCAGTAAAGAATAGACCACTAAGACATCAAAGAAAGGCAGAAAGCTAGTTTCTTTTGCGATGCCTAATATCAGAGAAGGCTGTAGCACACTCATTTGGCACGTTCATTCAATGTGTGTGAATGGAGGGAAAGGTTTAATAGTGGCACTCACTGAGTAGCTCTTTAGCCTAATGAAATCCACAGTCAACGGCACAGACTTATCGCTGTTCTGATTCAGTGCCTTAATGTAATCCATCAGGTCTGCAAAGAATTTATACCCTCCTTTCAGTACACACAGTGCCACGATATGGTGTCCTCCCATATCACGAACAATATCCCTGGCCAGCCGCTCAGTCCTAGAGGAAAATCAGGAGAAAAAACACTGTACAGGCAACATGCAAAACTAAATCAAGGAAGCTTTCAATGAACAAATATACATGGCATGCACAATTTTAAGAGAATGGATCCTGTGTCCATGGAGGGGATCCTCGAGGAAATTTGTTTAACAAATCGATAGAAATGCAGAATTCAAATCACATGCTTATCCTGTGGTCCTGCAAACAAGTGCCTGCACCACTCACACACCACTAACTAAATTTACTGTATGAACACAAGGTCTTCTGACAAGCCCGGTCACTCCACGGCCAGGACATTAACCCAGCAGGGATGAATCATATCACTGCACAACAGTGCGTTTCCAGATCACCACAACAAGCACACAATATCTTAAAAGGGGAATTCAATTACTTTTTCAAAAATTCTGCATATTTCAAATGCACAGGCATAAGCAAAGTCATCCAGATTGGTTTGATGTGAATGGTTAATTGAAGAGAAACTTAATGACTCATTTTTTTATAATGGTGGTGGTGATAGGAACCAGGGGTCATGATGTCTACAACACAAAAAAAAGCCATCTTTTATTGTACAAAACTACAAGTGAACCAACATGTGACTTCTGAGTTCTGTTTTGTTTGGGGATTATTTTGCTTTATTTTGCTGCCTTGCATGCAGCCCTCCACATTTTAGGCCAAAAAAACCTTCCCAAACCAAATCATAAAACAGTGTGTCAGGCATCAAGCACTGTGTTCAACCATTTCATGTAATAACTTTTTGTAAAGGGAGCTTTTAGAGACATTAAACTCTTTAGACGTCTGGTTCCTATCACCACCACTGTGAACAATTCTGACTTGGTAAGTTTCTCTAGAAGGGAGAATTTCACACCAAACCACTCTGAATTACTTTGTTTGCATCTTAACTGCATAATTAAGGAGCAAAAAAGAGGGATCACCTTTAATGTAGGACTGATGGAAATGGAAAAGGAATCAAATTTAATTTAGGACTGATGGAAATGAAGATTTACTTGAAGCAACGTCATATTACAAGAAAACTCACCGATCTTTGATAAGACCATTGGGAATTATAACACTGTCTAAATCTTCTTCATAGTGTTTGGGTACACAAAAAAGACTCAGTTCATGACCCTTGTCATCATCAAGTATCTGCAAAGGAAAAAAAAATTAGAATTACAATTTTTCATCACTTCTAACCTCATAAATATGCACACAGTAGATTACCTTCCAAAATAGGCATGAAATACTGTTTAGGCTACTGATCCAACTCTTATTTAGGCCCCTTAAGTGTACGTCTATCATCAAATAGTGCAGAAAGACAATGTAGGTTTAAGTAAAGGTCAGAAAAAGAAAAGGCCACACACCTTCACTTTACAAGCAGGGTGCATTCAATGGTTAACAGGTAGGCTATGGGCCGAACTGCTGCTCTAACCAAACCAATCCTTCAACCTGCACTTCAACCTGATTATCACAGGTTTGAAAGGTGGGTAGCATTTTTACATACTGCTCATGGTGAAACCATCAAATGCAGGTGTACGTCAGAAATCTAGCAGCTGCTCTCTTGTGAGACAAACGCGTGGCTTTTGCGTAGTCTATAAATATACTGAGAAGTCTAGCTCCGTCCACAACACTACAGTGCTGGAACGGGCAGTGCAGCCAGCCAGCGTTCAAAGCTGGCCTGCACATCTCATACATCCCACACTGCCTACTGAAGTTACAAGGCTCAGACACAATATGTATGAAATGCATCTTACCTCCAAATAGGAGGCCATCGTCAGAGGCTTGTCTTTGGAGTAGCTGCTCTACGGTTCTGCTGCTGTTGCTGCTGCTGATGGAGTCATGCTTGCCCATGCAGAGAGAGCAAGCAGCTCGAGCCTTCCTTCACACAGCGCCGCTCCAGCACGAACAGCGCGAGACGACGCCGCCCGCAGTTTTAAACCCTGACGTCACAATCCAGTTTGCCTATTAATCTGATTTAGTGGCAGCGACCTGCTGCTCTAAACTCTCCTCTCCCACCGCGCAGTGCAGCAAGACCCTCAGCGCCGTGCGCGCATGCACTGCGTTAGGGCTAGAGGACCGGTTCACCCAAAAATAAAATCTGCCCAGTGGCGTATCTAGGACCCATCCCTCATTAGGAAACAAAAATTACACTGGGCCTCGTTCACCGATATGTTCCTACGTTTCTCCTTAAAACTGTTCTTGAGAAAGGTCCTACGTCAGATTCATGACGTGTTCTTGAGTGTTTGTAGGTTCTGTTCTTACCTGAGAACAAATCCCAAATAAGAAGACATTGCTGAATGTTGGAATCTTCATGAAAACTGCGTAAGTTGGTCGTAAGTTGGTTAAGAAAAAAATTCTTCTTAAAACGGTTAGTGAATGAGGCCTGATGTTATTAGTCTGTCTAATGTAGCTAGTTGGAGTGGAGTTTGGAGGGGATGAACATGCCTGAAACCCCCCTTCTTCCAGTCTGACGCCCTATAAATTCACATCCTCACCTTCCGTACCTGTGACGAAGTTTTCCTAATGTTAAGTATCTTGTGATCTCAAGATAACAAAAGTTGTTATTTTGAGATAAAGTATCTTGTGTTGTTATCTTGAGATCACAAGATATTTAACTTGTTATCTCAAGATAACAATCCAGAAGATTATAGCAACAGCTCATGGCCTCTCTGGACGTCTGTAGTCGAGGGTGTGCAGTTTTGTATCTTTATGAGGGGCTCAATAAAGATTTGCAGGGGACTGGTCGCCAAAGTCCCCCATGAGAACCACTCATGGGGGGCTTCGGCGTGAATGGCACGTTATCTAGGTATTCATCCTGTGAAAAGGAGATATATGTATAGGTTTTTGTCACAAAAACACTAAATTCAAAACAGGCTGTGTGGACTGGGAAATGAATGGCATGTTTTGAAAATGTAACCTTTACATTAAACTATTATTTTCCAAAAAAGCAGTTATAAAGGTTGGTTTTCCATATGGGCCCTTAAGTAACTAAAAAACATACTTACTAACTGCAACTTGACTGGCCATAATCATCCCAAACATTATGATTCCAGCCTCTATTTTCTTCTATTTTTAAGATCAATTTACTGTTTTACTCTAAAGGTAAGCAAAAGATTGTACCGCTATAGGTTAGTCAATTAACCCATTAATTAATTAAGTGCACCATGACTGGCCAGCATGTCTTCAAACACTATTTTCAACTCTTTGAGATTGTTTTACTTGTTAACACTAAAGATGAGAGGAATAAAGTGCTGTACCATGTATTCATGTACAGATCCCCTCCAAACACACACATACACAAGAATTTCAGATCTATCTTTATTCATATAGATAGCAGCACGTTTTACAGAAATATAACTGCAAGAGTATACAAATGTACTGATTTAAAGCAAAATACAAGTATATTTATGTTAAATGTTACTTCACATGAATCTTCACACGATACTTAGACAGAGAAGTAAAAAGTAAACGGTTATCCCTATGACTTCAAAACGTAAAGAATATTATTCACATCAAACAAAAGCAAACCATAGTAAAAAATGCATATGAAAAATGAAAATGAGTAAGATGCACTCTCAAACATTCACACGCATACACACAAAGCACACAAACTGCTGGTGAGTGGGGTAAGCGCTCTAAGATTGTTGTCAGAAACCATTTCACATACGTTACTTCACCATGCCTTTTCTTTTTTTTTATTTTTAGAGAGATGAGAACAATCAAAAGAATATCATTTTTTATGTTCTGTACCTTGTTATGGCAAATCTCAAGAGGCAATAACCAATTGTTAAAAAAAAGAAAAAAATGGTGGAAAAAAGAAAATAAATGTTTGAGCTGCATAGCAGTTTCATGATATAAAGCTCAAATGCACTCAGTTTCTGCATTTGATGGATCTGTAAACAACACCTAGACGAGACAACTATACACATCATTAGAAATCTTGCAGTTTTGAACTTTTGGATCACTTTAAAGTTGAACTACAAACCCCAAAATGTGTAATTAGTTACAAAGGTACTTGAGAAGTAAGGGGGAACGGCTTGCAAAGGCACAAAGTACTTCCAATAAAAATAGGACAATACAATGGAGAGTAGAATAAATATCTGCGTAACCTAATGAAAGTTTAAGTAGTTCTTACAACGATGGATTGCGCAGAAATGTTCTGCTTTTGTTCTGTTTCTGCTTGTTTTCTGTTACACATACAGTATGACACTTTGACCTAAGCTGGAACATTGGTACTCAAAAACCAAGAACTCACAGATAAATATTTCATCCACAAAAAGAGTTCTGCTGCCATATTGTGAGAGAAAAGGAGATGTCATCTTAATTGGTCCTTAGTTAGATGTAGTGTGAATCTATATTTCTACATCATGAGGTAAAAACACATTCTTTCACTCTGAAATCAGAGCTACTATTTTGTTTATATGGCTTTGTATGGAACACACGTTCCAAATCATTAGCCTATATACTCTGTAAAAACTTCTCCTTTTTCAGGTCTTAAATTGACAGGATTTGAGCTCCACAAGTCACACAGAACTTCTGTTTCATAGCACAGTGATGGGGACAAAAGCACTATCATCATTCACTTCCCCTTGACATGATGTATGAAGTACAGTACTGCAGGAGGGACACAAAATTCAAATGTTTTAAAATGTACATAGTACATTTAGTAATTTCAGTCTTACAAAAATATTGTATGTATGGCTCACTTAATACAGGTGAGAGAATACACTTTACTACAAAGACAGCACATGTACTACAAACCAATGTCACACAGAGGAAAAACACCACAACTAAAAAGACAGGCTTCTTTTTACAGGGCTTGTATTAAATACATAATTAGAAAATAAATGACTATACAGTGACAGACAAATAAGGGAAATAGTCCAAAGATAAATAATTAACATATAGAGCGAATGAATTTGGGAGAAATTTACATATCTTTCAACAAAATGACTCATCAAAGCAAAAAATGCCTTTAGAAATGAAAATGCTGCAAATAACTCCTAGTTCTTCAAAATAACGGGCCGCCGTAAACACACATGAATGTGGGTGAAATAAAGATATGTGACCAACACACATGAGTGGTGTTACTTGTTACCTGGTAAAAAGCCACAGCCAGAATATTCATGAAAAATGTCTCCCAAGAAGACATAAGAGTGCTAATTCGGACAAAAAGGGGAAGGGACGAAATTTATCCATGACCAGGAGTAAAGCCACAGGGTATGAGTTATGTTCTAATAATTAGTCCAAATGATATAACAATGGTTATTTATGTAAACAATGCAGCACCACTACGCCAACGTGTTAAAATGAACCCTGTACAACTTCATTTACTAAGTCAAACATAAATGAAAGAACCAATGACCCATCCTCACTTCACATTAATAAATCTTCTTTCCAGCAGCTAGTGCCCAACTGGAAAAGTACATCTAACACATTTAATATAAAAACATGGATCAATCTTCATGTAACAACAGTACAAAGATTAATATGCTCTATTTGCCTCTACTGAACACACAAAACTGACATACACTGTACACATTGTCATGGGCATGCATGTGCATAGCCCAGTTGGCCATCCTGAAACTCAGCCTAAACAGGCCGCTGCTTAAACCAGTTGTGCATATAGGCACAGACAATCAACAGTGAACAAACTCTAAGCAACTGGATCTCCCTTGTTTTAGTTTTCCATCCCTGGCATTAACACTTTCAGTCACTACTTACTAATCACAGGACACAAACTCGCCAAAAAGTTTGACATGGAAAAGGCCTCTTACACCTGACTTGCCACAATAAAACCACACACAGCCTAAGTTTCCAGATAATCAACCAGGCCAGTCTGTGCGTGTATCTGACACAACAGTACGAGATGTTAACATACTGTACACAAGTGCTGGTACACATCCCGGACAAGGAATGACTAAAGATGGACATCTTCTTTGCAAGTGTATTAGATGGAACAACAGCAAAAATAAATCTTGACTACACACAAATATTTACAGTAAATGTTATACATCTTATGGGTCAGTGAAGATTGTATACAATTATCAAAATAAAAAAGTATAGTAATTAATCATGGCTCATTAAATAAGTTATGAAAATCAAGTCTACATAAAAAAAATTAAGAGAGAGAACCTTTGCGGAAAAAAACTCACAAAAGACTATAAAAACAGACAGATAGGGAAACAGGTGGATGCAAATGGCCTGAAAGCTTAAAGGAAGTGTCTCGTTTCAGAAGCTCCATAAAGTGCTAAACATACCATCTAAAAATCTTATCAACATACAGGTCCAACGTGTTGGGTTTAAGAGGCGAGTTCTAGGTTCAAGTTGTGTCAGTTTCTATTAGTGAGATGGAAAATGATTAACAGTAAAGAATCTGTTCAAAATTACAAACACAACATATGCTGCTCAGATATGAAATGGCCTCAGATCACATGATGCTGACTTGCCAGAACATTCATTGGCCCCAATTATGCAGATCCCTAAACATCCTTAAAGACAACTAACCATGATTACAACCACCTGTAACAGCCTACACGACCCCCCAAAAAGACATTAAAGGCTTAAATGTAGATCCTCCAGTTTCCACAACACATCACACTTGCATCTATAAGCTTGACACAAAGCTCAGCGGCACTCACCAAATGATATTTCAAAGTACATTTACTGCTCTAAAAAATTCCTGGAGAGTGTCTTCCCTTGTTCCTGAAACTGCTCTAGTAGTTCATCAATCTTCTCGTTGAGGTTGCTTGACTGGTCCAGTAAAGTGTGAATCTGTGCATTAGTTTGAAGCTGGCTCTGGTTATGATCTGAACTAGGATGCCCCATGGAGACAAGCTGATCTGCCAACGCAGGACCAGAAGGGTTTAATAGCTGACCACATTCTGATAAGAAGAACAAAAGAAGACTTCATTAGACTCAAACAGACTACATCTCTATTTTAAATTTCATCTCTAAGTTTTATCTACACAACAGCAGCATTGTAAGAGTTATAGTTTATAAAATCTATCTTCATAAAGAGAACTTACCAGTGGGGATTTCAAACAAAAACAGGCCTGGTTGCCCTGGCTGTCCAGGCTGGCTTAGGGTGTTCCCCAAAGCTGTCTGAAAGAGTGGATCAGGAGTCGGCTGACTGGATGTGGAGGCGGAACTCTGCAACCCTCCAATTGCCACCCCACCCTGCCCACTAAAAATGGCTGCTGCTGTGGCAGCCTGAGGTAACTCTTGAGTGCCTACACCACTTTGCAGTGCTGAAATGGCTGCCTGGGGCAAAAAAATGTTGACAGAGGCTTGGTCTGTGGAAGATACAGAGGCAACATTACTGGCGCTTGGGACAACCTGCATAGGTTGCTGGTCCTGAAAAAGTCCTGGTCGAGTTGAAGGCATACTGGTGGCCGAGTCATCCACAACAGAGCTCTCATCTTGGAAAGACATAGGCTCTGATGAATCCTGCTGAGCCACATTCACCACACTGGCTTGGGGGAAAAGAATTTGAGGACTCTGAGTTGACTGGGATGGAGGAACAGTAGACTGGTTTGAGGAGGTATCTGCTGCCACACTTGCAGAGCTTGGGACAACTTGCATGGGCTGCTGGTCTTGAAATATGTTCTGTGGAAGTTGTTCACCACCAATTGGACCCTGGTTCTGGCCACTGAATAGGAGAGTCTGAGGCAGGTCTTGAGGGTTAATAGGTGTAGCACAAAATAGTAGGCCAGTCTGTGGTTGTTGTTGACCCTGGCTTTGGGATATTGTAGACATATTCTGGAAAAGGGAGGCTTGCTGAGGTGTCGGTATTTGCTGCGGCTGGGGAGACTGCTGCTGTTCCATTGGAGTGGACAACTGGGTTTGTCCCTGAAAAAGTGAGACTGTTTGAGCCGAAGCGGATGGTGGCATGGGTGTGAGAAAAGTTATCTGTTGTTGCTGTTGGTTCTGGGTACTGTCAGCTGTTATTTGGCTAGGGAGAACACCCTGAGAAATGAAAAGTGTGGTTGAGGGAGGCTGCTGCTCAGAAGGTAAGTTAGTGCTTGTCAACATTGTCAGTGTATTGGGAAATAAAGCAGACTGGACCTGGGAAGCTTTGGAAGAGCCAAAGAGTGCTGTCTGAGGGTCCTGTGTTTCAGTCATAGGGTTGTGACTTTGAAATAATTGCTGGGGAGGTGAGGGCTGCGAAGGCGACTGCTGAAGGAAGCTTGATGTCTGAATAGTCAGGATCCCTCCCGCCTGTTGGAAAAGTGCTTGTTGCTGTGGCTGCTGGGATGAGTTTTGGAGGAAACCATCAGATGGCTGGGACATTGTACCATCTGTCTGCGTGGTGCTTTGATGCTCAGACATTTGATCCGGTGGTACTCCAGAAAAACTTGGTGTGCACTGCATAGGAATCTGCGGGAGTTCTGATTGTAAGTGCTTCTGCAGATTTTCCAAGACTTCTTGATGTTGTTGCTCTTGCTGAAGTTTCTCTAGATTTTTCTGATGTTGTTGTTGCTGTTGCAGAGTATCAAGTACTTTCTGATGCTGCATGTTCACCAAAGAGTTTTGCTGCTGAATGTCCTCAAGAACTTTCTGGTGCTGCATGTTTTCCAGAACTTTCTGATGCGACTGCTGCTGTTGCAAGCTACCAAGAGCTTGGTGCTGAAGGTTCTCTAAGACCTTTTGTTGCTGTTGCAGACTTTCCAGGACTGTTTGCTGGTGTTGGAGATCCACTAGTGCCTTTTGATGTTGTTGTTGCAGGTTCTCCAATATGTTCTGTTCTTGTTGCTGCTGCTGTTGGTTGGTCAGTGTGTTCTCATTGCCACCCAGCCTTAAACTGTTCATGTTCTCCTGGACATGCTGCTGGAGGCTTTCAGCAGAAGGAGTTGGACCGTAAAGCACAGAGTTAAGTTGCTGTTGCTCTTGCAGCTCCCTCACTGCTCTTTCCAGCTGTGCCACCTCATCCTGAGGCAAAAGGTTTTGGACCTGGGGTTGCTGGGATGGAGGAGGCCTGGACTCTATGCTCACTACCACCATTCCTGTGCCATCTGGACTGTTGTCTTCTGGAGACAGAGTCTCTGGGGTTTCCCGCAAGAACTGCTGAGGGACCTGTGGGGGCACAGGCTGAAGAACTGTTGTGTCCTCTGACAAGGACACTTGGAAGGACGCTGTAGGGGAGATGTCCTGTTTCTGAATGGTGGTAAGGGGCTCTGGAGCTGCAAAAATTGGAGTTGCTGATTGTTGAGAGTCAACAGGTTGCAGAGGCACAGGGCTAGGAAATGATTTGCTGCTTGTGGGAAGGACGGTGGTTATTTCCAAAATCTGTTGGTTTGAATTAAGAACCTCTGCAGGCTGTTTAAAATAAGAAGATGAAGATTAAACATGTTGCTTATTTCAAACTTAAAATCCCATTTATACAAAATAACATTTCAATGGGATGTAATTTATAGCCAACCTTAAAAATGTTACATGCTGTGGGGTTGGTAGAGACTTCCATTGGAGTGACTTCCTCTCGTTTGACTATGGATATCATTGGGGCCATCAAGGTACTGTTTAGACTACTGGTCCCACTTTGCATTGCTGCAAGAAAAATGCAGTTGGAAAAAATGTGAAAAACAACAATCTTTCAATTAAACTACTGAATGCATAGTATGATTATATTTCTGAGATTGTCATACCTGTTATCTGGTCTTCAAAAGTGCAAGGCTTAGATGTTGCTGGCAATTCTGACTTCACAGATATATCAGCTTTTTCTGCACAAAAGTTTGATTTGTTTTATCAGAGTTGGAAACACCTATACACAGATACATATTAAAACCAACCAATATAACGTGCCAAGTAGCCAACAAAATGCTGAACGTAAACAAGAGTACTAAAATTGTGGTCATTTTTATGGTCAACTTTTTTTCTTCTGTAAATAATTGTCTACAAGATGTGTTTTAGGAAGTAACACTCAGATTTCCTCATCTGAATTCAATATTTTACTTATTTACAAACCTTGCTGAGGCGTATAGGTGAAAGGCTGTAGTTCATGTGTTCTCCCTGCATTCGTTACCACAGAAATCCCAACTGACACAGGGGAGGTCACAGTCAGGTCATGATAAGGAGGAACCTTCACCACTAGGTGATTCTGGTGGAAATTAGAAATATAAATTTCAAATAAGTTTTAAAAAGAGTTTCAGATAAGTGTTTACCATAGGGGCTAAAAAAATAACTTTAAAAATTACTTGGGCCAGCTGCACCTACTTGATGAAAAAGCTCCATGTCAATCTCTGCCTCAGCCTGCCATGAGCTATCATCTGAAACAAAGATAGAAAATAATTTGAATAGTGCTTTATTAACAAAAAATAACTGATAACACAAGTCATGACTAGGTAAAGCAGGAAACTTCACAACTTAGGAATTCAGCCTAGGTTTAGCAGTACCTGTAGCATTTTCCTGAAAAATAACTTTGGTTCCCTTGAGGAAGTTTTTGCCAATAATGAAAATTTCCTCTCCTCCAATCACTGAGCAGCTATGAAGACTCTTCTTGAGAATTTCTGGCACTCCAGCAGGCTGGGCTGAACATTAAGGAACATAAAATGGTTTAACATTCTCTGGAATAACAAACAGTTGTCAGAAAACAGTCACTAGTTAAAAAAAAAATAAAAATACTGAGGTAACATTCTCTTGGCAGCTTTTAGACAAACCCTGAATACACTCACTACAGAGAATTGGTGAAGAAAGGGTCTGCAGAGTGAGGACAGAGCTGTCTGGTCTGGGGATGTTGACTCTAAATGCCAAACGAGCCCGAGTGCTCTTCTTTTTGGAGCCAGCTACCCCTATTCGAGCTTCAACATCTGCATTCCTTAGTTTCAGTATGCCAACACAGTCCACTCTGCAGAAAGACAGTTTGGCTTAATTTCAGTACTGCACAACACACAAGCAGAAAAGAACACCAAGAGCCAAACACAGTGCTATTCCTTACGCTAAAGTCATGGAGTTGCTAGGCTCAAGATTCACTTCAATAACTGTGGTCCCCTCGATATCCACCTCCTTACAGGCCGTCGTGTTACGCCCAGTCACTCTACAGGCTTGATAAAAGCCATGAGGCTTAACGCGTCCAGCATCATTAGCGACAAACACCTGGAGTACAACTGGTTCATTCACACCTTCTAACTGAAAAAAGAAAACAGTATACCATGAATACCTACTTTCATCTTAATCTTGAGTTTTGAATTCAATTTGAATATGTTGATGTTTTGCCAGAAAAAAATAAAAATTTAACTGAGTTCTTACTTTGACAGTGGGAAAGCCTTGCTGTGTGCGGTCTTTGACAGATCCTCTGCTCCCTTCTGTAAGGTATCGTGCTCTGTGCTGTGTCTCAGGCTGGACAAGAATCTTCAGTTCCTTCCCCTCGCTCTTCTGTGGATACTGCATTGAAAGAATGCCCCCTTTCTGACTGCCAGCCGCCTCCAGAGTGCTACGAGAGTAATAAGGGACATACCACTTGACACTGTGGCACAGTTGTGGGTCACAATTTGATGTGTTTTGTGTAGAGGATAGATTTTTCAGAGAACATAGCGTGAACAGTAATTTTGACAACAAAGAAGCTGGTTAAGGATCCAGAGGCACAAAGTCCAAAATCACCTAAATTATTAAGTTCCATCTACAACCAGGGTATTTATATCCTTCTGAAACCCTGCTGGCATGTCTGAGCAGTTGTTTTAGCACAAAACAGGTTCATAAAACACACACACAAAAAAATTCTGAACTGCCCAACACAACAGTTTCTCTAGCTCTCAACGCCTACGTAGCATCATTCTAAGACACTACCACAAGGGGCGTACTTCAAACTCAGATTCATTCACTGGTCAATGAAAGAAATAACACACCGACTCCCTTATGGAGAAGCGTACCCTCGACACACAGACTTTGGATATATCTAAATAACACACCCCATTTACATGTGAATCTACGAAAGACATACACTCAAAAGTATTCTAACTGCAGATACTTTGTATTTGTACACGTGTGTCACTTTCCACGCAAAAACGTTTGTGTCACTTATTTTTTGCCAGCAAGTATGTTGTGTATGTCGGTTATTTAACAAAAGTAGACATTTATTTGAACATATTTATTAGCCTAATGCATACGGCATCCTCTTGCCTAGCAGGAAGTGAGAAACGACTTAACTCAACCTCATGGCAGTTAGAGTCTAGATTACTAGAGTGATTACAGTGAGGGGAAACAAGTATTCCAACACTTTTGTTTTTGTTCCAGTGCATATATCCAGTTTAAATATACATACATAATGTCCTTTGATTTTGTACTCAAACAATATATTTTAATAAGCATAAACAAAATTTTTAAAAATAAAATTGACAGGGGAAAAGTATTCAGACAACACAAATTAATAGCATTATTAGTTTGTAGCAAAGCTGTTACCACACCACAATTGCAGCTTTCAGTTGCCTGCAGTAAGAAACACGCCGATTAGCTTCTTCCAGCATTGTGGTTCAGTTTTGGCCCATTTTCAATTCCCCAGGGTTACGAGGGTCCCACTGACGCACTCGCAATTTCAAAATTCTCCATAATTTTTCAATGGGGCTCAAGTCAGGAGATGCAAGCACCTTCACCGCCTGTAGAAATCAGTGTTGAGTTATTTTGGTTGTATGTTTAGGGTCTTTGTCGTGCTGAAACGTCCAAAAGAGTTCTGATTTGTCTAAATGCATGTGTGCTAGTTTCTTTAGTGCTTTATTTTTTATTTAAGAGGTCTTTTGTGTAGGGTGTAAGAACAAAGATGACTGCCGTGCAGTTTACTGCTTTCTGTTCTCTGTGTAATTGTTGTTTCTGCTGCTTTCAGTTCACCCCTTTACACTTTTCAAGTAAGTGCTGGCTTCTCTCTTACCTTTTTCATCATTAGTCTGAGAGCTTGTTGTGAAATCTTGAATGGTGCACCTGCCTGGAGATGATTAGTTGTGGTTCCATGAACTTTACAGTTGCATATTACTGAACCAGTTGTACTGGAAGGGATGTTTAAGGTCTTTGCTAGGCTGTGAAGCTTTTTCCATTCAAGTGTTGATTAATAACGTTGTCTCTGAGAACATTAGGAAAATGCTTCACCTTCACCATGATTGCCACTACTTCACCATAACAATGATCGTGTGAAATCTTCCCAACCAATGGCAATATCTTTTATAATGACACCAGGTGTAATTTGCAGAAGACTTTTTTTCAGCATTAAAATCTATATCATAAATAAATCTTAATTTATTTTTATGTAACCTTCACATATATTGATAGACGATATATTGATTGATGATATTTGATATGGTGTCTGAATACTAATCCCCTACCAATTTCAATATTTAAACATAACTTTCTTTAAGCTTACGAATACATACTTTTTTGTTCATATTTGTAAGTACAAAGTACAAAAGACATTGTGTGTGTATATTTGATGGATCTATGCGCTGAAAAGATATTAAATTAACAGAAAAACTAAGTGTCTGAATACATGTTGGCAGAACAACAAAAAGTTGGCAGAGTACATTTAAACAGAACCAACCTTCCTTTAAGATTGCCTTTCGCTTCAGAACCCAGTTGTGAAAGTACAAAGTGTGGAGCCTTTGCGCTGTCTGCATCAAACACATCCATGGTTGCTCCATCCCTGGCCACAGGTTTGGGGCCAGGCCGCTGGCGAGGTGTACGCTTACGGGATTTTCGGGGGACCTCAGTATTGTCATTGTATGAACTGTTGCTCAGCATGCTGAAGTTAGAAACTGAGTCATCCATCCATATACTGCTGCTCTGCTCTGAGTCTGGGTTGAGTGGTAACTCATCCTGGCAGGACATACGGCTGTCATCCAACAGGTCTTCTGGAGGTGGAGAGATGTTCAGGACGGTCCGCCGTTTTGAGGGTGTCATCTGGTTCTGATGGGCTGGTACCCCAACACCATCGCCCCCAGCAGCCCCACTGATGGCAGAAGCTGAACCAGGCTCCACTCCCAACACCTCTGCAGGGAGACAGCTGTGGAGCCTGGATGACTGCTCTGGAGCTGAAGTAGCAGAGTGCATGCTGGCACAGGAAGAGGCAGGAAGTGCACTGCTGTGCCCTCCAGGGGATGATGAGGCAGTTGCTGCATCTGTAGTATGCACAATACAAAGAGTTAATAATGCTTATTACTACAAAACTGGCTAGCAGTCCCGATCAAGCAGTAAAATTTGTGCATGATAATGTGTTGCCAATTTCCGCCTTTCCCTTTAGACCACTAGTGCCAAATTTGCCAAATGCCAAAAAAAGAAATCAATTGTATCAGGCCAATAATGTACTATGCATGTTTTTCCCCCCTTTTCCCTTACTGTCATAAAGGAATACATGTCTGAGCACAGAATATTCTACTGTAACCATTTCTGTTTTACAGTGTGTGGCCTAAATGTGCAAAAATCTGAAATCCTGTGCCATGTAAAATTGTGCAGGTAAACATGCGTAAGACATGTATGACTGCCATCTTATAACAAAAAGCTGAGCTAATCTACCCAGCCTCTGAAAACAAATGCTGTTCAATTATAATTCTGAGGTGTCTGAAATGCTGTGCCAGGTGTCAACTATTGCATGCCAATTGGAAGATTTATTTGGGACTGAGCATAGCCATGGAGACAGAATAAACAAGCTTCTGACCTGTGGATTGGTTATACGTGTGGTTCAGTGCTAGATGCGGGAACCTGGGTTCGCCATGTAAGGACTGCTCAATACTTCGAGGTAAGTTCCAACAAAATGTCCATATTTATTAGTGTTCACACGAAAAAAAGAAAAACTGTGTAAAAAGGAAAATAAACGAATTAAAAGCAGTTTCTAGACATACGGACTTTAGTTGACTTGTTCTAGTCCACAAACATCAGTCCAATAAAAGAAGTTTTCCTGACTCAACTTCAGTACAGGATGAAGTCTGAGGCCACAAAGCCGATTAGACTTTTAACCCTACAAACAGGCCTCATGCCTGCCATTTTTTCCCCTCTGAATCTCTTCCCCCCGCCCCATTTAAACTCATAGCCCCACCCCTAATCAGACTGGGCCAAACCACTGCTAAGAGCAAGTGGGTTAACAGAGGACAGTACAACAATCTAATGCACATATCATTGTTGACAAAATACAAACTGACATGTAATTTGGCCCTTCATTCACATTACTGGTATGTTCTCAATTGCTTTTATTTAACATTGTTCTTTCTCTCCCACAGGTACCTCAATCTCAGGCTACCCCCCCTTTTGTTAACCGAGGGCCCTTCGGCTACTATAAAAGAGGAAGCTGGATGCGCTGCCGTTCCTAAAGGAACAGGACCAGAGAGACAAGATCAACAGGTAAGTAAATATATGTGCACATTTTTACATTGGCTTTAAATATGGTTTTGTTTTGAAATTCCCAAAGTCTACACAAAGTGTCTCAAAATAGTCTTGGTGATGGGGCAGGCCTACTGACCTCATCACATGACCTACGAAGCAGAGAACTGCAGACCATTTTTTAAGCAGACTCTCCCTGTTTCAGAGGGAACTCCCTGGAATAAAAATGACAAATGACAGCAAAAGAGCAGTAAGTGCTGGTCATTCAAGAATAATCCAATGTAGATATGAGCAAATTTGGTCAGTCATATGTGCACAAATCACATAACAAAAGATTCCTAAAACATAAAACATTGGTAAATAATTTACAGGGCCAGCTTTATTATTATGGGGTCCCAATCTTACATTTATAATTTTAGCTCTGATTTGATGTTCTGAAGTTTATTGCTGCAAAACAGATGTTAATCTGGGCAGCCTCATTTGAGCTTGTTCAACTTCCTGTCAAAACAGAAAGTAGCTAAGCAAAAACTTCACCCTTCACCTTGCACCACTGCAGTGCTTCTAATGATTAGACAAGAAAACAGCATACTAGAAGAAGGGAAAAGAGCACAAGTATAGCCTTTAATTAGGCGTCTCATACAGAAGACTACAAATTTATTTCAAGAATCTTACTTGGCATGTTTTTTTCTTCAATAAAGCCAAAAATCAAATTGGGCAAAAATGTTTGACAAGTGTTGGTAAAGGTTTTTTTGGGCCACCTCAACCGTAACTTGCCTTTGGTGGTCACATGCCAGAAAGTGGTCTGGGCAAAAACCAGGAAACAACTCTTGCTCAGTGAGAGCAATAACAGGAAATTCTTTAAACATTTTAGTGGTTTTATTGGAGACAGAGGCAACTAAAGCACTGGTCACAGCACTGAACAGTACATTGTAAGTCTGCCACTAAAAACCCTATGAAAACCACAGATAACTTGGCAAAAGTAAAGATGTGAAGTGTTCAGATGGGTTTAAATTTTTTTGTTGAAAGGTTAATGAATGTGTTATGAACTTGAAAAAATGGACAGATTAAGCAGTAGTGCCAAAATAAAAAAAATAAATAAAACGTGAAAGTGGAAAAGAGTGGCGAGGAAGACATTTGTGTGTAACCTGACAAATGCACACAAAGAGGGCAGAACACTGAAATAAGCGATCAAAACTGATTACGAAGTAGAAAATTTGATGAGTCAGTTTTCAAGGCAACTAATGAGGGAAGACTGTGCAGTGAGGTAGCAAGAAATGCAGTGACGCAGCCTACCTGAGGCCAGGGCTGCAGAGGGAAGAGGGCCTGCCTCTCCACCGCTCTTCTGGCTCATGGTGTGTTTGTCCTGTGTGGTGGGGGGAAGCTGCAGTTCTTTAGGGAGTAGGTCATACACTGACTCTGAAAAATGCATAAGACCAGAAAAAAATGGGTGAGGCAGTGAAAGCTACTGAGAGACAATGGAAGTCTTAGACGCAATGTGGCTGTTTTTTAAAAATGATTAACCACCTGTTCAGCTTAATATTTACCATTTACACATGACAGTCATAATAAATGACATTTTGTAAATTTACTAACATCGAGCCTCTTTTACCAACCGTTCTTAAGAAGAAATTTCTTCTTCTATTTTTTTTTATTTGTGATTTTTTCCTCAGGTAAGAACAGAATCTACACACACTCAAGAGCACAAAGGTGCGAACAATTCTGCGGTTTAAGAACACGTCATGAGTCTGACAAAGACTTTTTCTAGGACTACGTCATGAGTCTGACAAAGACTTTTTCTAGGACTTTTCTCAAGAACAAACTTAAGAAAAACCTTAGGAAGATATTAGTGAATCATTGTAACTTATTCTTGATTCAATATTAAAGGAGTCCGGGTGCTAAACTGGCCTGCCTGCATCCAGACCTGTCACCACTGAAAACATTTTGTGCATTATGAAATGAAAAATACAACAAAGGTAACCCCAAACTGTTGAGCAGCTGAAATCTTATATCAAGCAAGAATGGGAGAATATTTCACTTTCAAAACTACAGCAGTGTCTCCTCAGTTCCCAAAAGCTTACAGAGTGTTGTTAAAAGATGATGAAACACAGTGGTAAACATGCCCCCATCCCAACTTTTTTCGAAAGGTGTTGTTGGCATCAAATTCAAAATAGGCATATATTGTTAAAAAATAATAAGATTTTACATGATTAGCATATCATTACATTTTGTTTTTTATTTTGCACAGCGTCTCAACTTGTTTGGAAATGGGGTCGCACAATAAACATAAATACAGAGTCAAATTTGGTTTTACAGTTAGGGATATATTGATATAGAAACTGTGAGCTGATGCCAATATCCAATACTTTTTAATGTATGTATCTGCCCATGCTGATACCAATGGCCATACATAAACTCAGTGTCACCTTAAAGCTCTAGAGTACGATAAATGCATCCTGAAATATCAGTTTGACATATCGGTCAACTCTAAATGTCTGTCCATTCTTTTCTTCAAATCAAATAACTGTTTGCAATATCACCATCCATTCTTATTTACAGTAAATATACATTATCTGCAACTTGCTGACACTCAGATGTGTTCCAGGATCCATAGCAACAGTTTCCATTACTTCCATATCCCATGTCCTTCACTAATTTCAAATGATAGATCAGATGGTTCAGCCATTTCTTAGTCTAGAGATCTCTTAGGTGTTTTTCTTGAAACCATATCTACATTTTATACATTGGCTGACTACCAACTTACATTGTTGTTGTCAGCCATAAAGGAAAACTAAAGTCTGTTCGGTTACAACAGTGACACTGTTTCTACAAAACAAGCCACTGAATGATGCTTCATTTAGCGTTTTTTTATTATCTCGTGCAAACACTAAATGAGCAATCATCAAAAGCTCAGCTGGGTACTGTAACCTGCAGCACCAATCACCAAAACACATAAGCATTATAGAGCACAAGAAACTATCTATCCAGCTGAGGTATGTGTCGGAACAAAAACAATGAAGTATTGTTTTGGAGAGTATCCTCATCTGAAGGTAAACTTACCTTACGTTATAGTCAGTATATTAAATTTATCTTACAATACATTAATACTGACTAACAAATCATCATCATCATCTTCTACTATAGCCAAAACGATGAGAGATGCATGAATTGTTCATTCATCTCTACTCCAATATTTTCGTATTTCAATGTGAAGCATTAATCATATATGACTTTATAACCATAGCGAATACGAAATGGGCTGTTTTTGCTTAGTTGCCATATATAAACTGAAGGGACTGGGGAGTGAATGTCACATGACTCATGATTTGGATGCTTTAAGATAAGTTTATGTTGACAGCCTGTTGAGAAGCAAAAGAATATCTGTCTTTAGTGCACCGGTGGCTTAAATGAGACCTGGTAAGAGTTTGATTCAAGTACACAACCATGTCACAATCACCATAAAGCAGACATCTGCAGATGTTAAGATGTTTGATGCATAGATAGGTCAAAAAGAAACAGGAATACAAGTAAAGATTTCTTATGTACTTATAAAATGCAGAAATTAGGCTGGAACCACCTTGATTAGAACTATAACAAAAATGCAACATTTATTTCCCTACGGTTACAAAAAAATAAAGAAAAAGCATTTTAGCACAGTAAACAAGCATTGCCTAAATGTTTTGCTCTTTCTGAGTACGGCAAATAAATATTTTGAAATATCAGGTAAATCTAAACATCTATCTGACACTGATAACTTTTATTAAGCAATTATCTGCCGATACCGATATGATTCAGATATCATCATAGATCCCTATATTAAATTATTATGTTAACAAACACAAGAGCTCTGAATGTTCATAGAAGATGAGATGTGATGGTAAGCTAAGGCAAGGTGATCATTCAGCCTTGGTTGGTGCTAGTTCTCCAACGTCGGCCTTGTATGTCCAAGAGATACTGAACTGTTTTATTCCAGACACTACAATGTTATTCTTCCAGACTTCCTTGCGCTGGTTGGGGTTAGTGGGGGCATGACCAAACCAGAACTGCACAGGAGTTTTTCTGAACACTTCAAATGCTTTGCCACAGATTTTTGTGGGGGGCTGTTTGAATTTTTTTTTTTTGACAATGGGTGAAAGCAGAACAAAGCCAGAGAACTAACACTACTGCTAAGAAGCCAAGTATCTTATTGCACCTGTATACCTGTGGTAAATGTTTTCATGATTATCATCACTGCAATGGAGAGAATGGATTACTCAAAATGACAGAAATACCTCATCAGATGAAGAGGACAATAAGCTAAAAGTTAAAGTTAGCAAGGCAGCTGCAGGGCTAACTTGACACTACTTGTCTCTGGCTGAAAGGGTAAAAAACTTTAATAGAAAAGCAGCATTAGATGTATTTAGAATTGTCTGTGTGTTCAAAACACAAGCCTGAAAATTTTTTAAGCACCAAACTGGAACACAGTGTTTCTGACTAAATCCCTGTATGGCAAAAATCTACCATTAGGTACTATAAAACATTCTCGCTTGACATCATAAAATGTTTCCCTCAGTTCAGCAAAGTTACGTGAAACAGACTGAGGTGAACTTGTTTTGCATACATAAGTTGACGACAGTGTGTGTTTCCCTCTAAACACTGGAGCTGTTGGTGCTGTTGTCTCTATTGTCACCTTCCCAATGAACTCTACTTTTATAATTTTCTCAAACTGCATGGCTTTTTTCCTTCTGTCTCTACTGACTCTGGAAATGGAAACATGTCCCTTGACTTAGCCATATAAAAAATATAGCGTGCTCCAGTGACTACAGTGGCTAATTCTGTGTTGCTGGGTGGTAAGATTTCCATTTCTATTGCTTACAAGCTTAAAGAGGATTGACCAAGAGGTGGATTGTGGATAGACCAAACACGTCTTGCCGCTGCTGTTGACTCTTGGGTGTTGAGTCCTAAGGCTGGGCGATAAAACGATAACGATAAGTATCGCGATATAACTTTTCCTCGATAGAGCGATAAGACAGGTTCGATAAATGTTCGATATAATACACCACTCTCACACTTCCACGTTTTAGTGAAAGCCCTGGTGGGCGTTTTCTACAGCAAGGAAAGCGACACTACTCTGCTCTCGCCAGGAGAGGGTGCACTTCCGAGTTTTTCGACTTGATTAGAGAGGGAGGGAGCCATGAGTAAAAAAAACGGGTCGCCAAATATACTTTAGCAACATCTGAAACGCGGAGTTATACAGTCCCTGTTTGAGCGGAGCGACCGGCGATCTGTTCTCCTGTGACTGAGTGAGTGATGAGGTCAGTGGTGTATCTGTACTGTCCTACGGTGAACTCACCTCTTTCCGTACATCCTAACAGCTTTAGCGGTGTTAAAACACATCTACAGCGTCGTGTTACAGCGCCAAACCGTCATATTTTAGTATTAGTGCATTCTCGAACAACGAAAGTGAAGACGTGGGTTCATGTTTGAAAGTAAACTGAGGAAGCTGTGAGGCATTGGAGAGCGGGAGAGCGCTATCTCTCCAGGCTAGCTGTTTTTAGCTGCTGGCTAACTTGAAGCAGCGCTCCGGCACAACATGGTACATTGATGATACAAATCAAACAAGACACAAAATCACCGCTTTCAGTTTAAACATCCCTAAAAGGAGGACTCTGTGACTGGTGTGAGAGATTCACACTGCAGACAATGCTTTTACACAGCGTCAGATATACTGCGGTTCACCCCTTAAACTACTACGGTAGCATAGAGAAACCCAGTCGTCGCTAGCTGGTGTCTGAATACTGTGATATGCTCTGACATGGATGTGGTAGGAGTGACAGCAGTGACCTACTGAACCGAGTTGACGTTGTTGAGAAACTAAAGAGTTTAGCACTGTTGTTGGCCACTTGTTTAGCATTTGTAACGGGGTAGCCGAGCGCTCGTCACCAGACAGCTAAAAATAATCTGTTTTCTTTCTTAAATCATGACTATTACAAAAATTGCAGCTGATAAAAAACAGCTCAGAAACTTTCTCCCACTGTCCCATGACAGATTAGTGAAACGTTCCACTGTTTGCCGAGTGTTTGTCATGATCGGACCATAAGTGATAGTTTAAAACCACAATTAACCACCCAGGAGCAAAATCAGCCTTCAAACATGAAAGAAATCATGATTTGACATTTATCGCAATATGTATCGATATCGAACGATATGAATTTTGTTTATCGTGATAACGTTTTTGGCCATGTCGCCCAGCTCTATTGAGTCCTCACTCTGTTTGATAGAGAACAAATGATGTCACTGGTGG